CAGACTGGTTCCCTGGGTCTGGGACAGGGACCAAGACTTTGCCTTTCAAACATGCAACTGGGCAGTGTTCACGCTGCTGGTCCCTGGACCACACTTCTAGTTACAAAGTACCAACCAACACCCAGTCCAGGTGGTCCAAGAGCAGTGTGGCCTAGAGTCCAGCCCACGATGTGCTCCCACCTAGCCACACTGCCGAGGCACGTATGGTGGTGGCCTCAGACGTGGACAGCCGGTTAGGTGCACTGAGATCCAGAAGGGGCGGGCCTAAGCAAAGGGCCTTGTGTGCGGCTGAAGACTGCCCCTCCTGGTCAGTCGGCTCACAGAGCAGGCGGAAGCTCAGTGGTGGTCCAGCCCCACTGGACCCTCTGGTTCTGTAACCTACCCTAACGGGTGTCCCATGGACTCCATATTGGGCCTCTCTGCCTGGGTCCTGGCTACACTGAGAGGTGAGTAGGGCTGAGAAGGTGGCCGCTGGGAGACCCCTGGGCTGTCCCTGTGCCGAGGCCCTTCCCGGTGCACCTTGAGCTCCCTCCCCAAGCCTTCCTTTCCCTTTAGGCCCCAGATGACCTTGCACTGGACCTTGGCCTCTATCCCTCTTTCCTCCTTTACTACTCCCTGGACATGGCCTCTAGCTGTCTCAGACCTCCTCACTTCTCTTCTGGGTCGAATCCCAGTGACCAGTGGTGCTGAGCTCTGTCCATGTCCCCCTGCACATCACAGCTGCCCTGGCTCTCCTCTTCCCCCTGCACATCACAGCTGCCCTGGCCTCTCCTCGTCCCCCTGCACATCACAGCTGCCCTGGCCTCTCCTCATCCCCTGCACATCATCTACGTGGAGTCTGTTCTCTCCGAGATGGTGTTAGCTCCCGTGGAGCAACGTCCACGGGCTCTGCTTTGACCTCTTGGCTCCCAGGAAGGCTTGACATTGGGTGATGCCCTCCCCACCTGTCCTCTCTGTCTCAGGTCCATTGTAGATTCTCCCTCCTTCTGGAGCTGTCCCAAAGGTCACCACACCATGTCCTGAGCACTTATGTGCCATGTCCTGTGGAGCTGCAGTCCATGGCTTCCCACTGCAGTGACCTCTTGATCTAATGTCTCCACACCTGGACCTCCAGCCGTCTGCCATTACACTTTGGGCATCCCACCATTGCACTCCACCACAGGTACCTAAGCTTGGGGTGGTCAGCTCCTCCTCCTCCGACCCACTTGCCTCTCAGTTCCATTCCTCACACCTCCAGAATATGCGTCGGGCTCATCAAATTCATTATCAAATTCAAAACCTGAGGAGAACCAAACCTGGCTCCCACCTCTCTGTGTGTCTGCCTGGTCCTCAAATCCCAGCGGATGGCTCCTTGGACAGCTTCCGGCTCTCGATGGTCACGCAACTCCACTGCATCCCTGCTCTTCTGCCTTCAACCCAGCCCAGCCCTTGTGAGGCCCCTGGGCTTGTTCTCAGCTCTTCTCTCACCACATCCCACCCGGCTCTGGAATCTGAAGTGGCTCCTCGTTGCGCCACCACTTGGCCCCATCTGACTGTTATCGGTGGCACGAGTCACCTCTACAGGCAGCAGACTCCCTCCTCACCTTCGCAGAGGGCATCCTTAACTTGCTTCTCGATTTCTCCCACCGCTGTCCATCCAGAGCTCTAGTATTAAGATTGCTGGACATTGGTGTCCACATAGAAGAGTATCCAGTTCTGTCCCATTAACTATTCACACAGACAAAGAACCCAGACACGCAGGGTCATGTCATCTAAGGAAAGCCAACTGTGACAGCCCGCCCTCAGGTTAACAGCCCGTCTTCAGGGTCAGTGTCTGTAAATGCCAGGGTTAGATGACGGGGCTCGGGTTCTTTCTAGGTCAGATTCTCTTTGGTTCCATGAGTCAGAGTTTAATGACCCTTCCTTGACTGCTGTAACCCTGCTCTGAAGGCCTATGAAGTGTCACTGTGGTTTAATGTTGTACATTAAGACATTTGTTCCTCTTGTAAAAGCCGGCAAGCTCTCGAGGTCACGAAGCCTGGCACCCAGCTCTCCCAATGCTCTCCCCAGCCGCCCGGCGGACAGACCCGGGTGCTCATGAACAGGACATGGGAATGCACACCCCAGGCTGTGAATGGCAAGGCTGGGTTCCAGACCTAACTCGGCCACCAATTTGCCTGGCTGCCTTTTGAGCCTAAACCTCCAATTTACCTCTCCTTGGAATGAGAGGTTGGGCAAGGTCACCAGTTTTCACAGTGAGAGTTTACACAGAAACTACTGAACGTACTGCTTTTGCTGAACAGGGTGTGACGAAGACGCGGGGACCCTGCTGGTGTGCCTCTTGACTACCAGAGCAGGCACTAGACATCCCCAAGTTCTCCTGAGTTCACCAAACACTAGACTTGACCTCACTGGCCTAGATGCTCCCTTCTGGCATTGTCTTGGAAAGTCCAAGGTTCTCAATATTTAAAAATCTAGACTTGATTTAGCCTAAACCACTCCCCAGATCCCACCATGAGCTGCTAGATCTACTGATCGTCCCCCCAATTCTATGAAGGGGATTCTTTGTTAACCAGATGGCTTGACAGGTGGCACTAAGAAGGGAACATTTTGGGGACATAGAAGAAAAAGAAGAAGGCAAGACGGCCAGCCCACCACTGACCTGCAGATCCGGGCGCCTGGAACCCTGGTGTCGGAGCCTCCAACTGCTCTCTCCAGGGCCTCGGCCCGCCTTTATATGTGGGTGAGGGTGGGTCGAGCCTGCGGCAGTCGCTGCCATTGATTCCAGGACAGGGAGGAAGAAGAGCCCAGAGATTTCACAATGCCTTTGACACAGTATGGATAATAAGGAGGTGGGGAGATTAATGAGTATTTATCGAAGGGGGCGAGAGTCACCCATAAAGCCCTGACAGAGGCCAGGCACCGAGCCCCACTCTGTGGCTACTGTCATTGGCCGTGTTATTATTGGTTTGGCAGCCGAGGACACAGTGTGGGGTCAGACATCAACAGTGACCCACGGGGCTCCATCAAGGCTTGGGACGTGGTTACCGCAAGGCAGGGTGGTCTGAAGGGGCCAAGGACTCAAAGCATCCTGAAAGGGAGATCAGGGGCTGAGGGCATCAGAATGTGTGGCCCTATGTGGAAAGGTGGGGGGGGGCTCTGCTTTTCAATAGGTTCAATTAGTTGGCATCACCTTGATGAAACAGATCATCTAAGCAAACCCAACTGTGGAAGCTGTTGACCTTATTATATTCACCCTGGGACTGGCCAGGTGCTATGTGCCCCACACGAGCAGGAAGGATGACAGTACGAGAGGGCAGCACTGAATACCCAGTTCCCTAACTGACGTTACCTAACCCAGGCTGTCCACCCATCCATTCATCCATCCACCCATCTAATCATCTATTCATCCCATCATTCACCCACCCACCCATCCACACATTTCTCTACCCATCCAGCCATCTAGCCATCCAGCCATCCATAGATCCACTTTCCCATCCACCCATCCATCTATGACAAGGGGCAAAGAGGTTGGTGTCATGCCCACTGGAGACTAGCAGCCTTTCTCTAATTCATTCTCTCTCTCTCTCTCTCTCTCTCTCTCTCTCTCTCTCTCTC